TCATTGCTTTCACTGTAATTATTTTTTTTTATTATTTAGGGAGCATTATAAATAGTTATGTTTTAAAAGAAAAAACTACTATTGTTATAAATAACACATTCAATTGTACTAAACTGTGCCTGCCATTTTAAATATATTTACATATGGCTTGTGTGTATCGTATATATACATATATATTATCCATACCTTCGGTGTTTAGGACGCAAGCAGATTTTGACATCAAATTTTGGGGTAAAAAAGTGCGTCTTATACACCGAAAAATACGGTATGTTGTCTACATGTATAATTATAGAGACTCAACAGTTAGAACTTTTGAAACACGCAATTACAGAAAAGCAAACAAACATTCTCCGTCATGTAGAATGCCAGTACACAACTAATACCTTAATATAATAGGATGTAGTTTGAATGAGAAAATATTTCGGATCAAGGAGTGATGTGTTTTTAAAACATATAATATTTAAAACATAAGTTCAAGATACGCATTAAAATGTGAAAAACAAAGGAAATGTCACGGTTGTAGATACAAAAATAGAACATATTAGTTTAGGAACAACCACATTACAAATCAAACTTTAAACAGTGAATGGGGGTATAGATATTATAGAATGTGAATAATGTTATACACATTGGATGATGATCATTGTGTGGATAGTAAATAGACAGCAGACAGCGGAGGAGATATAGGACACTGTAGATAGTGCCTGATGGTAGAGATGTGGATAGTATCTGGTGGTGGAGATATAGGACACTGTAGATAGTGCCTGGTGGTAGAGATGTGGATAGTATCTGGAGGTGGAGATATAGGACACTGTAGATAGCACATGACGATAGAGATATAGAACACTGTGGATAATATCTGGTGGTGGAGATGTGGGACACTGTAGATAGTGCCTGGTGGTAGTGATGTAGATAGTATCTGGTTATGGAGATGTTGGACACTGTAGATAGCACATAACGATAGAGATATAGAACAGTGTGGATAGTATCTGGTGGTGGATATGTGGGACACTGTGAACAGTTTAAGCTGATGTATACGTATGGTGATAAAAACATGGGACCTCGTGAACAGATTTTAGAGGTGTTTATAATGCAGGACTTCGTAGTTAGCTAGTTATGGCGTGAATATGGAGCGTTGTGAATAGTTTATGAAAGTATAGATATGGTTGCTATGAGCAATTAATGATATGACGTTGCAAACAGCTAGTCACACAGTGGCTCAGCGGTAAGTCTGAAGGCTTATATCGCTAAAAACCGAGCTTCGATATCCGTGGTGGGCACAGCACAGACAGCCCATTGTGTAGCTTTGCGCTTAACAACAAAAACAAAGTAAACATGTAATGGTAGTATAGATCTAAGATATCGCGAATAGTATCTGGTGGTAGAGATATTAGACACTGTGGATTGTAACTGGAGATAGAGATGTGAAACACTGTGGATAGTATCTGGTTATGGAGATGTGGGACACTGTAGATAGTGCCTGATGGTAGAGATGTGGAACACTGTAGATAGTGCCTGGTGGTAGAGATGTGGAACACTGTGGATAGTATCTGGTGGTGGAGATATAGGACACTGCAGATAGTGCCTGGTGGTAGTGATGTGGATAGTACCTGGTTATGGAGATGTTGGACATTGTAGATAGCACATGACGATAGAGATATAGGACACTGTAGATAGTACTTGGTGGTGGAGATGTGAGACTCTATGAATATCGCCTGGTGATAGAGCTATAAGACGTTGTTGATTGAAACACATCCATAATGTATTTTTTTCTTTGCCTCCAAAAACATTTAAGATTGTGATAAATGTTCAAAAATTACAACTCCACTGCTTTGTTTTGTTTGTCAATGTATGGGACATGTAGAAAAGTATCTTTGTACCAAATCCCATGTAAGTTGGTTAAAATACGGCAGAGTAATTGTAAAAGTATGCTTTATTGTGAGCTCTTACTCCCCCTAAAAAGACTCAAAATGGGAAAATCCAACTTGTTTGTATGTCAATGTGTTGGGCACATAAAAATTTATATTTGTTCCAATTTTCATCTTGATTTATGTAAATAAGACCAAACAGAAGCTCAAAATATACGTTTTTTTGGGTTGTTTATCTTTGATCCCATAAATTCCTTTAAAAAGCCTAAATTAACTCCTCAATAGCCGCGGCTGTAATTAGATCTCAAATTGGTCAAGAGATGGAACTATGAGCTACAATTTTGTACTAGAAGAAACAAAACTCAGAGTCATTCTATGAGCCGCTGTGCCGCGGCTAAAAATCAACCAAGTTTCAAATAGACAGCAACTGCCTGTTGTAGAAACCTACAAATGTAAGACGGTACGTACGTTTACGAAAGTCTTACCTAGAAGAACGAAAGACGGAATAACTTTACGAAACATACGTACCTACTAACA